TGAAATTATTTTGCTCAAAGGAAGACTATCTGGTCCTAGCAGCCGTCGTCTAACTTCATCGCTATTCACGCGATGCTTCAACCATAAGCGGGCAATGTTACGCAGACAATGGTTGTCGAAGACTAATAGTCGCTGGAAGTGATCTGCTCGGATAGGCCAGGTCTCGCAGCCATAGAGCAGCCATAGGGGAGAAACGGAGAGATAGGGCAACCTTGTCGCATCCCACTGGTGACAGGAAATGAGGGTGAAAATTCACCTTAGGCCCTAACCTTACCCGAGGTCTGGTGATGAAACGCTTTTAGGAGTGAGACATACTTCTCGAGTACTCCGTATCTCCGCAGACAGTTCCATAGTGCGGGGCGATTGATAGAGTCGAAAGCCGCTCTGATGTCTAAAAACACGACAGCGGCTTGTCGNGTATGTGTGACGGTGTTCTAGTAGCTGACGGAGGATGAAGATTTGATCTACGCATCCACGGCGTGCACGAAAACCCGGTCTCCTTCTCGCGGATTTGCTTCCCACACAGTGGGCATAACCTGCGTAATGAAACGAACACCAGCAGCTTCGGCTCTATTGGAAACAGACTTTGGCCCCTGTGGTTGGAACATGCGTTGCGACAGCTCTTCCTGGAGATGTGTGACAATGGAATTTCCCCATGTGTGGGGTACATTTCAGTTTCACAGCCCATCGAGAACAGTCTCACAAGTTCTCTTAAGAGAGCATCTCCGTCATCTTTAAAGAGAGCAGGTGGTAGGCCGTCTGATTTACCTGCCTTGTGGCATTTCAGGGCTTAATGTTCCTTTCGGATCTCCGCTTCTGTGGGCGGACCTGTAGATAGTGACGAAGGTGAACTCTCAAGAGAGCTGCTTGGGGCAGCCAGTGCCGGAGGCTAGTTGAACTGCGATGTGAAGTGCTCCTCCCAGCGTTCCAATCGCCGGTGAAGGCTATTTATCAGCTTGTTATCTACTTCGCAGATTGTTTCATTAACGCACTTCCTTTGGAGCCTGTAGCACGGATGAGCTAGAAGAGTTGCCGGGTGTTTCCACACCTAGCCGTTGATTCCATCTCCTTTGCACGTAGCGCCCACCAGGCCTCTCTGTCGTCTCTTAAATTCTTTGTGAGTTCACGCTTCAGGGCGATAAAATAGATAGATAAAATAATGCCTCATAGCAAATAACAGAGATGACAGGGGTTTATGGAAATAATTTAGGATAATTCTTGAGTCATTCCTATTAGAAAATATTGCGTTGTCATATATACATATGTGTATATATATATGTCTATACATATATATGTTAGGCTTTTCCGTTTGGTGGACTGTGAGAAACACAAACGTTCAATACGTTGTCACTCTCTTACGTTTGCTCGCTATTCGAGTGGGTTGAACACTTGTGTTCCGTCTCTGAAATCCCGGGCTTGATCCTCAGTCGAGTATATGCATTAGCACTGTTGATGAGGTCCAACCAGATCGGAACAGTTTTGCAATGCTTTCTAACTTTTCAGTTCGTATTTTGTTTGCTCCTTGCCACAATAAATTCCGTGCATAATCGGGTAAAATTCTCCTGTATAAACATGTAATGTTTTATTGGATTAATGACCAAGGGTGGGGATTTGGCCGATCACGAACAGGTGACTGTTCATTCGCCAGTACTGTCAACTCCTATCCCCTTGACCACGTATTTGTTTGTAAATGCACCAGCCAGGCATAATTTTCATCTAGTCCAATCGGGTGCCGTGTGTTGTAAAACGATGGACCGTTAAACTAAAAACCGTGATAAAACCCAAGTACATATGTGAAATGGTTCTGGCGCGACCGCAAAAGCTTTGAGTGCCACAGTGGATAAAACTCCAGTGTGGTCAGCATCGATCTCGGAATTTTCGAGGCCAGGGCACTCCACGTCCATGGATCAGCCACGGGTTTTGTCTCATGGGTTAACCAGATGACTTAAGGTCACGGAGCTCCAAATTTTTAAACAGCGCTGCATTCAAAATCAGGCGACAACGATTTCATTCAAATTAAAAATGATTTTAGTGATCTATAGTGGTGAAAACATGTGGAGCTGGAGAAAAATGCCATAACTACCAGCGACTTTGAGCAAGACCAGGTCAGAATTTGAAACTCATTATCGGCGACAGAAGTTGTGCTATAAAATTGAATGTAACTGAAGATTTGGTGGCTGCCAAATAAGAAACTCTAGGGAAAACTCTTTCAACATTCATGGAACAGACGTGAAAAATTAAGAATTTTGTGCACCATTCAGCATGTGTGGGGACAAAAGATTTGCCAATGTGTTCACACTAATCCGTTGCACTGTAATCGATTGTTATTATGATTATTATTAATCACTTTAGTCGAAAAAGTTACCAATTTACATTCTGCTGCATTATAATCTAAAATTAAACGGTGATATTTCAAAAAAGCAGGTATTAAATTGTCATTCGGTGTAAAAACCCAAATACTTAAGGGTGAAGAAACACTATGGGTATATCATTCTGTGTACAAGTCACAAACATTATCCAGTGTAGAATCATGCTTTCCACTTCTCTGGAGTTTATCGTTCGTGCTCTTCGGAAAGTGTCCCATCTCCAATTCCATTTCTAATTGATTATCAGGTCAGTAATTTCACGATTGAGGCAGTCGCGCTTGGACGACTTCGCCGCTTATCTATTTGGTTGGATTCCAGTTCCGCGGACAGCATGGATGATGATGCATCGCAGTGGTATTTGGAGAATATCCTCGTTCGCGAAATGCGAACTAACCGGACCGCAAAGGAACAACACGCGGAAGGAATTATTGATCATCCGCTGACTCGCGGTTGGAGTTGTTTTCCTTGTTACCAGTGGCTTGGAATCGGAACTCGACCGGGTTCGTTGCAAGTACAGTTGATCGCTAGTGCCGGAAGCGGTAATCTGAGCTCAGAATTGATTGAGACTACCAGCTTGATCAATCAGGAAGACATATGGGTACGTTATGGCACTGGTTTTCCGTTTCTGCAGATCACGCATACACGCACGTAGCCAACATCCTCGCTAATGTTTTTTACTGCCTTGATATTACCCCGGCGTGATCAGAAGTTTTGAGTTCATTTAGAATTTCCACTGCATCTAAAACTATAGAAAAAAGGCATACACCCCGAACAGCGTGTTTTTGATAATTCGTTAGAGATACAATTGAACATTTTTGGCTGCATAGAGCACAAATCGTGGGATATTTAAATATGAGTAAACTTGATATTGTCAGACAATCGTTTTAAATGTAAGTCAACGCAGATAAATACAACTTTTGGTAAACAAAGTCAATTGTTACAAAACACAAAATTGGACGTAGAACCGACCCGGACATACCAAAAAATGAAACTCCTGAAAACAGACAGAAAGGTGAGCATATGCTATCAACATGTAGTAACCGATTTGTGCGAGAGCCAGCGGATTTCGTCAGAGTAGATTATTCGTTTTTATTGATATACTTGTCTGCTTGCTGCATAAAATGCCTACATATCGATCTACCTTCCCGCTTGTCATGCTGCCCATTGGTTGATGGCATCCTTACCAAGAAAAATTGCTCATAAAATTGTCTATTAGTTGAACAAGAAGTCAATAATTATAATGACGAGTGAATTTTTATTGAGATAAAACGCTTCTCTACACATCCCATCCAACTAGAAGACGGCAATTGCAACGGGTATCCGGAGCATTTAGTCAACAAAATGATTAAGTGCAAAGAAAACTCTAAAAAATGGAGGTTAAGAAAAAATCGGTGTACATTTCTTTGCTGTTCAAAGGGAACACATCAGCTGAGATCATAAAAAGATTATCCGACGCAATCGATAAGACTTTTCTATGTATCCCAGCTTCGCGTGATGTTCACGTCCCAGCCAATTGNCTCTGTGGTCTCGGTATGTGTATACTCATTTACTTGTTCCTGTGGAACAATGTACATAGGCCACACGGTCAGGCGATTGTCCAAGCGGATTCTTGAATACCACCCTGCGTGGCTGAACACCGGTATGATTAAGTCACTCACCGGTGCAGTAGTTTCACACCTAACTGGAACAAATAACATTGTAGACGTGTCCGAGGTTTTCTGACCCCCGTTTAAAGTTCGTGGTTGATTACCGAAGCAGATTCGCTGTCGGATTGTGGTTACAGCAGAAGCGGTGGGGATTCATCTGCACACACCCTGTCTGTGTCCAAAAACAATTTGTGCAAGCGCTAAATCTTCCCTGGCCCACTCCAGTCCCACACACATACTGTATCGTGAGTAATCTCGATGATCGGATGAGTGGAAAACAAATTTGTGATCGGGGTGAACCCGATTTCCGATCTCACGATGAAATCGTTTCGAGCAACGTGTGATTTTATTTTATTTTCCCTTGACATTTTTATTCCCAAGTAGTGATATATATTGAGATGTATTGGCATGAATACGAATTTTTAAAAACGAGCTTGTTTGTCACTGCTGTTTTATTTGAAATGTTCTCTGACGGACGATTTTGATCATTGTACTTAATGTTGTGACCAAAATAATGATGCATCTGAAAAATTATTCAAAAGAAAACTAAATCAAGTTTGACAGTAATTAAATGACAGAATAAAGCTTTGTTTGGTTAATTGAGAAGACAGTTTGCTTAGACGGCGGAACCAATACACTTAGATTAAAAGTTCAAAATGACCAGGACATTTGTCCAGTTTCATGAGTACTGTATGCCGTATTTGTTTCTTGTTTGAGTAGCGTGTGTCTTCCTATATCCACCCATTTTTCAACTAGTGGCAATCGGAGAAGTGGAAATTCCGACCGGGGATGCAGTTGGTGTTTTACAGTTACGTAACCGGTGCACCTCTTCAGGTCAACTCGGTCAAAGGTGGACAAATTGAAGCACAGGTCGAGGCTTCAGGGGCAAAGAAAGTAGTTACGCCTGCAGGTCAGTTTGCCGTTGTTTATCAAAAACACATGGTGTCACCATTTGGGATGGATGGTGTTGTGCCAAAGCCAACGATTGATTCGTCTCATTCGTGTGCTTACCTCGTTATATAAATTATCAGCACACTACACCAAACGGATAAATATACTTGATCAATATCTTTTTCCATAACAGAAGGATCTTGTTCCTGTTATTATTACATCGAATTAATTCATTTCACAAATTAATTCACAAAATGGTACTAATACAAGCGCAGCGTGACGTATTGTTGACATAAGGAGATCTTCCAAGGAATAATTTTATTCACCTCGGTCTCTGTCAGTAGTTACAATTTTTTTCCGCATCAGTCACTTCAAATGTCTTGTTGCCAACACATCTCACGTTAGCGAAGATGATGGAGTCTTGTATCAGTGTTTTCGTTAAGCATTGGAGTACTATTTAATTAAGTTCACTTTTGAATCCAGTTTAGGTGTTATGTGACCCAGGTACACCGCTCTTTTTCTGTTCTACTCAAGCAGATGTAGCTTCGCATTCAGAATGAAATGCATAGGGCATATTATGTCTCATATACAGTGATAGAAGCTCCTTAAGCGGTGACACACCGGACACTGTCTTCTGTGGTGGTGTGACATGCATGAACCAGGTAAAGCACCGTAAGTGGTTGGCACTGATTATTAAGCGGTGAAAGTATATCAAGGCGATTGCAATTCGTTGTGCTTCCGTTGTGTCCTTATATGTGAGTTACTGACCAGCACTTACTTTTGTTCTCCTTGCTCATGATCTCTCGTTTGGCGTTCACTCATTTTATAACCAGTGCAGCTGCCCCGACTGCGACACTGACGACGTCATCCTATCCGAAGGATGTAATCTTGTTGCGAAGCTTATCAAGCGGTCAAACCTGGGGGTTTTGTGAGTGAAATGGATGAAAAGAGGTCTAGTTGATTATTGGCTAAGTACATAGTTGGATCTGAATGTTTTCAAGCCAAATTCAATTAAAATACTGCCTTACCATTGAGCATTACCCAAAATCAATATGAAAAGTTCTACTTGGACAGACGAGGCAAACACTCCGATGTAACTGAATAGTTACGGAAAGCATGAGAACATTTCTTTGATAAAAGTGCCATGGTGACTGGCCAGGATCCTGCGTTTATCGACTTTAAATAGGTTTTAGCCTTGATGGATCAAGCTGCATTTCTTTTTCATGCATCAACCGTGTAAATTCACCGTATAAAAATATAAAGAAACGATATAACTACTGTTGCTGTCCCACAGTTGAATTGTTAGAAATTAGAATTAGAAACCTCAGTGAAGTTCAAACCGTTCGATGAACTAGTTCAACTGCATTGAGATCTATGAATGTTTCAACTTTGGTTTTTCAACTGCAAACCATAATGATCTCAGGTTTCTTACGAATATCTCTGTGCCAACAGAAGAGGCTGGTTCATGTCGATTTTCTTTCTCTTAGTACAGTGAACTTCAGTAAGTTTACCGTTATATTTGCCATCACTCAAACTTCTGGCAACGAAGACAGATACTGCAATGCGCATAATGATGCGTGGGTTGTACATTTGTAGAATGCTTGAGACAATACAGCCAACTTGTCAACCTCAGGAGTGTCAGCCATTTGGGTACTTGGGAGTGTGTATCTATGGTGCATTTCTGCGGCACTGTGAATGCCTTACAGGCAGTGTCAGAATGTGTGCGTACACGCCCCACGAGTCCGTGATCGCTCGGAAGTCACCCCATTTGGCGCCAGTTCATGAAATGTACATACGCTTAGACTCTGAAAAGTTCACTCGCTCGCAAACGGCTTTCGATCCAGGCCTGATCTTCTCACCGACTGTTGTGATTCACAAGCTGAAATCGGCTTACTTTAAATTTGGCGGTTTTAATTTGGTTATGCTTCAGGTATTTTCGTTCCGCTTTGTGGGATAGACAATGCAAAAGCATGGTTCTACGTAATTGTTACCATAAAAATACATGGGTGACTCGAAAAATGGCACTTTTAGAGGAATTATGCTTTTAGAGGCTCTACTTTGAGTGATTTGACTGTTTAGTTGCCCTTCTAACCGAAGTCAAGAATGGCATCAGAAAACAGTTGTCTAAATAGTTATTCATTTCTCAAAACTATGTTCCAAAATTAGATAATCTGTTAAGTAAGGTTTATTTGACAGTTTCCATGAGCTTCGTTTCACCGACTGATGTTTCAGAAACGTTTGCAAACGAATTGCCAAGCTCAGCGAACAGGCGAAATGGAATTCAGTTCACCCGAGCTACGAGAACCGATTTTCCATATTTTATCATGTTTCAGTTACTCAATGCATTCAGATTCCTCACCCACTATCATCCACACTTTTTGGCTACAACATGGTTGGTCTCTCTCCCATTGTTATCAAAATTTGGTCGCACTATTGTTTTTTAAATAAAAACGGCTGACAAACACAATCATCAGAAAAGAACTTTTGATTAACTCTACACTAGTCTGATGATATGCAACATCATCTTATTTCATTTTTGAAACAACAATAGCGAAAGAGACTAGTTAATCGCGCGTGCAAACTTGAACCCAAAGTCCGACATAAGAAAGTGACCGGACACGGAATGGAACGGGTGAAAGCCGTTCCTTTTCTGTTCTATTGTAGCATCATTCCGGTACTTTCTTATCTGTTACGACTACTCCTTCATTTGTTTTGTTTGTATCTGCTTAAGTCTGGATGCCTGTTTGCTCATGGCTTCGTTTTATTGTACTACCGGAAACTGGGTTAGCTATTCCCATATCTGTCTCACCCATCAGCTGGTTTAAGTAAAGCTGACTAATGAGATTATCAATATACAAGACGTCTGATTACATGATCTGAATGGTAATTTGATATCCAATTTCCCTGACAGAATTCAAGGTTCTCTGTACTCAGTGAGAAATGAAACTAGAGTAGAGCACATTCACATCGCAATAAAATAGATTATTCGTTCTGAATATTTTGAGTCAAGAGGCTTCCATAATTCCCCGATCATTCTTCTATAGAACTGGAAATTCATTTGATTGTTAGTGCTACCAGCAAGGGAAGCTGGTTTCACACCGAACCACTTCAAAGGAATTAATCAAAAACTGCAGTATGAACGTGAAAAACAAAAATCGACTTGCCAAAATAGCAAAGATATTTTTTATTTTCACTGCTTCCTGCGCAGAAATGCAACCTTACCCGGAATTTGAGTACTCGGAAAACTCAGACTATAAACAACCTCTTCAAGTAAAATCTGTCGACGCCTACATTGAAAAAGGCAATTGCAGTAAGTTAGTGCAATCGGAAATCAGGGAATAATTAATGAGCCAGCAACAGAAAATTTTGATTTTAACAACTCAGGTTAACTCTATTTGCGGATAAATTTGGACATCGACCTCCCTGTGCACACCTCTTGAAAATATTGCATTCATTTCATGCACTATGGTGATTAAACGTTTGAAATTATTGGTAGGCAATCGTCTGTCCTTGATGTGTTCACGCACGCACACGTACGCACACACACACACACACACACACACACATACAGAGCGCATACCAATAGGCGAAAAATTAAAAGATTTAACCACTTTGACCACAGTGACCGTCAAAACTCGATTCGAGGATTGTCATGAATGATGAGAGTGCACAATCTAATGCCCTGTTAAGTTCAAATAATGAGGATAGCCATAGCATATAATTAAGAAAAGGTTAACCCCGGTGAATCCCCTCACCCATTGCCCGCATTGGAGCAAAACACAACAAGGATAGGATGTGAACTTTATCAGATTGAGGTAATCCAACCTGGAGAAAAATAAAGAAGAGTAAAAATCAACTAGGGCAGAGGACGAGATTGTTTTCTGTAACTCCTCACTCTGATCGGTGCACATGCGTGCATACTGAAATTTTGTTTGATGGACAGAAATGGCTGCATCAGAACTGACTGGTGCATTAGATTGCATAAACCCATGGTTTGGTGGTTAGCTAGCTCTCCTTCATTTTACATCCGATTTATTGGCGTACACAATTTTCCCCCCGTACACAGGGGTTAGTGCAATCAGTCCTCAAATTAATTTCTATTCTTCTTTCAGGACTATGCATCAAAAATGGGAACGCATCCTTTCTTTTCAATCACTTCAGTGTCAAGCATATAGATATGATCCCTTGTTCAACTTGACTGGTCACAATTCTAACGTCTTATAACGTTCTGAAGAGAAGAAATTGACATTTAGGACGATTAACAATGTCATTGGTGTAATTCTCACATCATTCTCCCAAAATCTGTATGGACGATACACCCCGTGTAGAGCATAAAAATATTCCCCATCAGCTTGACAAAATATAGTTGTCCGTCAAGAATGAATTCACCAAATGGTCGAAAATGCTACATTTACTCAAACACCCGGTGACTGGGTGAACATGAAACTTAGGTTTTTCGGACTGCATTGTTGATACTCACTAACAACAACGGTGTTGAGGTACCCGTTAGTACAACAGAAGCATCCGCACAACGCACCACGATAATTCAACTTAATTTTTGTTTCCATTTCGCCTGTTTACCGAGCTTGGCAATTTGCCTGCAAACGTTTCATCATCAGCCGAGGTGGCATCATCAGTTCTTGTGAAGTGACACTGATGATGTCATCTAGGTCAGTGATGAAACGTTTGCAAACAAATTGCCAAGCTCGGCGAACAGGCGAAATAGAATTCAAATCACCCGACCTACGAGAACCGATTTTCAATATTTTGTTAACTTTTGTTTGTTTTTTATTCTCAGCAGATTCTGGTTTGAAAGTGGTCATTCCCTGTCAGTGTTCACCGATCGTACTCTCTTAAGAGCTGCTAAGCTGTCAAGTGGTCTGACCTCATGCCTCCTGTTTACGTCTAGTATTTCAGGTATTATCTGCATCCCCAGGATCAAAACGGTTTCTCAAACCACGCCTGGTGAACAAATCTCAATGCGGCATGAATGGGCTGCATGGTCCTATAGCTTATCCACTTCTGCTGCATCAGGATGTGGAGCGCTACAACGAACAGCTGCTACAATCCAATGTGCGAACATTTCACACCGTCGGGTTGGACAAGTTTGTGTTGAGTTTGAACGATATTACCGGCTTACGTGTGACCGGTAAGTAAACTGGTTATCATGGAAAATTTCCAACTCGGCATGGAGAGAGAAAAACGCGATGGTTTTAGCGAACAAGCTCGTTTTCGACAACTTCTTCTTCGGGCTAATACAGTTATATAGTCAAATGAAAATGAAAATGTTCGTCAATGGCTGTGTGATTCGTGGTTTTCGATTGTTTTTGGAGTGTGGTTGGGAAAGGGGTGGGATGAGAGGATGTGATCATAACAAGGTTGGGAAAGCAATTAGGATGTGGACGTGTCATCACGCGTTAGGGTCGCGGGGTCGTGAGAAAGGTCAAGTCTATCTCGGGGTTATGTATTGTGTATTGTGTATAACTTTTGCAAACACTGGAGCTCACATTTCAGTGTCACGTTGTGGCCAAGGCAGCCTGAGTGATTGTACGAATCGCTTTTGAGAACAAAGCAATGGGATTAATAATCGAACGGCCACGGCTTCGGCTGTTGCGAGATGACGTTGACGGGCGGCTTTCGAGGTGTTTGGTGGCACCTTGTAGATGATTCGAAATGCGTCATCATCAACCTGATGATCTATATATAAGACTCCCATTCAAGGGAGATTATAATAGTGAACTAGTGACACGACGGTTAGAAAGAGCAATCTCCTGAACTTTTCCTGCCGCCACACTACGCACCCTTTTCGTGAGCCGACCGGTGATGTCCGCGACCCTAACGCGTGATGACACGTCCACATCCTAATTGCTTTCCCAACCTTGTTATGATCACATCCTCTCATCCCNCATTTGACTATATAACTGTATTAGCCCGAAGAAGAAGTTGTCGAAAACGAACTTATTCGCTAAACTGTTTATCACAAGTCTGGACGCCTAGTTATATATTTCAGTCTTTGTAATTATTGTGAGCAGATGCCGACATTTGAGTCTAAACATATGCAAATAATCTCAAACATCGATGAAAATATCAAAATACAATTACAAAACAAAAATTTTAAAAACCACTTCCAGTAAGCCATTTTTAATCAAACTGGTACAAAATGGAAAAATATTTGATGTGCGCACGCATTTACACACGCTTCTATAGTCTCATCACCAACCTGTCATTGGTGATATAAGGAGCAGTTATGTGAACTGTATTTTCATACGTAGACCATCAGTGAGTCAAAGCTAAGATTGGATGATATGTTCTAAAGGGTCAGATGCCACTTACCGCGACAAATTTAGTGGAATACTACAACTTAAATACGTTGTGGCAAGTAGTATATGAACGGTCGGACGGAAATTTCCATGGTAACAGGTATAATTCTGCGGCAACCTCTAACATAGTCATGTATGTGATTGACCGTCGGTTGCTTCCAGTGAAAGTTTGCTTAGTCGTTCACATCTTACTTATTACAATGCTGGTATTCGACAAAAAGTATTATCTTCTGAACCACTGATAGGTAGAGAAAGTTAGACCAAGGCTGTATTGTATTGTATTGCAGTGGCTTGTGCAGGCAGTTATGCCTGCATTTCAGTCCAAAATGTGTCCACCATTACATTGGGATAAAAATGAAGGAAGCCATAAACAACAATGATAAAACTTAAACAGAAGATCATTTTTGTAAGTTTAAAATCAGTTCATTTCAGATCTTCATCTTGTCAGTTCTAGTACGCTCCAGATAAGCTACCATTGCGATAAATGTTTATTCGGGAGGGTAAGCAGCGCTATTCGGATCGGACTGTAGCGTGGAGACGGCAGGTAGATGGGTCGGGATTGAGTGGATGACTTAATTCGTTGAGTATCTTATGGGGGAAATTCTCACATGAAGTAATATGAAACTCACACAATTTTGTGATTACAGTGTTAGAAAGAATAAAATAAACACAAATGCTTATTATCAAACCGCAAAGAAGGGTAGTGAAATCCTTTTTAAGTAATCCAGGGACAGGCTCTGAAAGTATTTGATTAGATAATCTTTCACATACTTTAACTTCCGTGAAGCCTAAAATCTTTGGCAACCAATCTTTCAATGGGTGTCAGAGGTTTGAAGCTGATAAGGAATAGCGTGCGTCCGCACAACCTAATTTCTTGTCTGTTTGAGACCGATATAAGTAATGGAAAAGCAGAGGTAGGAGGGAATTAAAAATGAGTATTTGGAAAAAGGTGCAAATGGTGACAGTTGAAACAAATTTTTTTTCTCATTCGTGAATAGAAAAGGATAATCAACCTATATATCCGACGGAAGACACAATGTGCAGGTATCATTGAACATCAGTATCAATTGCTCAATGAGTTCAAAAGCGGGTAATTTGTCAGAATCATCCATTCAAGGGTCAGAGAGAGGGCAGTTTACAACAATCGGAAACGTATTATGCACATTCGATGGGATTAACACTAAGACCAAAGTTAAAGAAAATCTGTACACATTGGAAAAATTGTTCTAGAAATTAGCTACTTAGAAGTTACAAGAAACAGTTTGATCTATGATTACATCATTTGCATACATTACATGTTTTGTGAATGGTAAAAAATGAGAACCACTCCTGATTCATTCACTAGCAATTAGGATGGTTCTACGACCCAGCCTGATACTGTATGCCCTCTCTCAGAAACATTTTGGTTGCCATCAAGCACGTAGAGAATTGGTGCATCCTAAGAATTATCTTCCTTGATGTGGAAGAGTCCCAGTTAGGAAAATGGAACAAGCAAATTTTTCAGAAGTGTTCATTGATTCATTGGTACATTGAATAATGGAATCAACTAGGCTCAAGAGGCATCCGTTTGATTTGTTTGAGAATAGCAGTGAGCCATTTGGTAAATATCCAGGTGTGCTCAGACGATTGAGACTGACTCGGTCTATCAATTTCAGACCTGGAGCAGCTAACCTTGTGAAATACAGAGCAAATATGCACACATGAATCAGGGAATGTTTAATGTTTGATTCAATTAAACCTGTCTAAACTATCGGTGCTTTTAGAATCTGACGTAGATTTTTCCAATCCCCTTCGGTCTACGAAGATGGGCTGATTCTTCCTAGTCCAACTCGTGGAACCGCGTAAGCCAGGTGCAACAAACCGAACAATGAACTGCGCTGGGATTCAATAACAAGTGCAAAGTTAGACGGCGCTGGTGGGGTTCGGACACTGGATCTCTGAAGCGACAAACTGTTGACGTAAATGCTTGACTACCATTGCCATCTAATGTGCTTTATACGTAATCGGTAATGATTCAAAACAGATTCTTTGATTGATTCCAAGTACAATGTGCTCAATGTTTGGTCGGCAAGGTTTTCCCATCACCGTATCAACATATTCTAGACTCCATGTTGAAGCTATGCTCTTATTCATGGTATTCATTGATATCCAATCAAATATTTTTTCACTAGCGTGCAATCAAAGAATGGTATCGTATAAAAACGAATGTCATTGGTGTATCTCATATTTGTGGGCTATGTTATCCTCCTTCTGTGAACTACCGTTAGTTATATACACTTAAATAAACCGTTTCTGATAGCACAGTGGGCCTATTCGCCATATTTACAGCCGAGTTTAGAGGTAAAATGATCCGAAAAACTTGATCAACACCCGTTAGGGGTCGCGTAAAACAGAATCAATTTATCGTACAACTCTCATAGATGGTGTCCTCATATTTCAGTTTATTGGTTCACTAGAACTATCGGTTGAACGCAGGTACGTTCTTGAATGCTTCCTGCAAGAAAGTCTATCTTGAAAACGAAGTTGTTTATTTCTTGAGATGAACTCATCCAATAGGCATGTTATATGCTCGTCTTACATTACATCTTCCTATCGTTTACCAAAAAACAGGACGATGAAAACAACACTTTACGATTCACTCAGCTTTTATATCTTCCCTTTAAGTGTTATGCGGAGTACATACAAAGAATAAACAGTTAACGGAGAGCAAACACTCCCCCGAAAATCTCGGTTTCTTTACTTACTGATTGCTGGCCACGCTAAGTCTGTCAAAAAATCTCGTTTACGTTACCAGATTTTGGGCGTGCTATTTATCCTGATTAAATAACAAAATATACCCATCCTTGTCAATCAACGTTCACTTTACACAGAAAAATACGTAGTGTTCTGTCAGTGCAGACTTGTTCCTCTTTTCAGATAATTTAATCAATGATCGATCCGGCAAAGAAATATCGGAATTTCGTATTCGATCTCAACCGGATCATTGGATTGTGTTGGAAGCCGTCCGGCCGTCGGTAGAACGGATGCCGACTCACGTGTACGTGGGTCCAGAAGGTCACATTGTCAGTGGTGCATCAGGTCCGTTGTCGGTGCCAGGGAAGTTGCTCATGGCTTACGCTAAAGTGAGTTTCTTTTGATTTAGGCGCTTCTCATTAATGACAACGGTTCTGCAGAGAATGTCAGAAGTTTTGTTAAGGATCGAAATCATGTGTCTTGCCTATAAACGAGTGGAGACAAAGTCTCTAAACACTAATTAGATACAAAGTTCACTACAACTCAATAATTTGAAGTCGGTAACTCTACTGAAGAATTTCAGAGGACCGTCCAGACGATTTACAATAGGAACAGAGTTCCGTCGGCGATATCTCATTGGTTGAATCCGCAGAATATCAAGCAAAAATTAACGAATATAAGAGAAATTAATAAAAAGAGTTGATTGCAATGGGATTTGATTTTGCATGTCTGTTGAGCATTTTGTTGCTTTTGATTGTTGAAAGAAACAGAGCACTATGAGGTGAGAGTACGTTCTCTCAGTTTCCCTTATGACCGCTGTC